TACTACTATATATATATATATATATATATATATATATATATATTGATAGAAATTTAAATTTATAGGAATATATATCATGTTGTGGCTCTCGTTTTAAAGAGTGCATAATTAGCATTTCGGTACTTGTCTTGAGGAAGGTAACAATTCGAACAAACAGCCCGAAAGTTGGATCCATAGCTTAATTCCTAGACCACTCTAGTTTCTTTGGACTGATAGGATTGAAGCTAGATATCATAACCATTGGACCCACCCCTCAGTTGTTTGGAAAATTTTGGCTTACACTTATGATTATAATATGATTGATTTCTGGTGTGGCTATGGTGGAGTTTTGCCATGCTAGAGGGGTTGAGAAGAGCAGAGGAGCTCAATCTGACTAAGATTTCTCTTAAATTTAATATGCAGGGAATTATTCATTTTGTCAAAGGTATGTCTACTGCTCCTTAGCATCTAAGATCTATTATTACTAATATATGTGATTAAAAGGATAGATTAAATGTGAATGCTGTATAATTTTTTTGTTCCATCCTTAGGAAGGAAACCACTTAGCTCATAGCATGGCTAGTTTTGCAGTCTCAATGTAATAGCTTTTTGGAGTTCAGCTGCTCTGGCAGCTGCTTGATTCTATGTTAAGTACTAATGAAGCGCATGTTTCAGAAAGGAAAAAAATAAAAACAAATGGCTCTTACATGCTTTGGAATAGCTCTATCGACATCTCGGAAAGCCACCCCCAATCTGATAGCCCATTATCCAACAGGCAACCAGCCCCAAAGAAGACACCACACTAATATGCGTGGGACTTGTGCAAACGTAAGCCCTTCGCGATATCTAATCTACCTTATCAGTTGTGTGAGGAGTGCTTACCTCCGGAGTGCGCTTATCCCTTGTGGTGGGATCTCTAATCCACCGAGATTCCATGGAAGGATGCGAGGATTGTGAATCATTACCTCCGGGGTGGGGTTATTACCTTGCTGGCCAAAAAGGTGTCCGTGCTGCCCTTAGAGGTGCTGGTAACCGAGGCGGCTCATCATGCAGTACTAGTAAGTTGGTTTTCTTACCAAATCCGATGTTGATTTCTTCCAATGTATTGCTAATAGTTCGTCTTTGTGCAAAACAACCACTATCTCATGAGGTTGATAGATTGGATTTGTGATTTTGGATCTATAATATCCACTTAGTTTGGTGCATTATTTGGAGTATCCTAGTACACATGGAGGTTATGTTTATTACTATATAAGAACAACAATCTCAAAAACAATAAACCCTTTCTTCTTTGGTATTCAATTCTTACCAATCTTAGGAAACAACGTGATAGTTCCTGAACCCTTACGCTATGATCCAGCTGACTATTTAATCTTCATTACCTATCTGTTTGTTAAGACCCTAGACACACTTTGAATTTAAACTTTACATGAACCCGAGCAACAGGCAAATTATGAAAATAGAATTAGCAACTTCTTGTCCATTTGACTACAATGAAAAAGATGCAATGAAGCATAGGTCATGGCTTTTAGCTAAAATAAGAATGTTAGGAAGATATTTCTTGTGGAATAGCTATTGAGTTATTTAAGTAGAACAAACTATTTCTGGCCTTAGCAATGCCACTTTGTTAGCATAAGGATGCCATAAGTTATTGCGCACCAAAGGCAATGCTGAGATGAAAATCAGTTCTTTGGGAAGAATATATGCTAAATTGCTTTTGATAATATCAGTTGTACCAATTCATGAACAGGTAATCAATGGGAAAGATAAAAAATAAATTACAAGTAGTAAAAAATTATGACCGACTAATGGGACTCGAGAATAAATTTTCCAGAACTACACGCTGACAAATATCAAAAAACAATTATAGTGCAACAGCAACAGAATCACCAAAAGATGCCTGGATATTTATAAGATTCAATTAAGATCAACCAATTTCCTCTGAAAAGGTCGAACAAAGACACCTTTGGCTAATTATTTCTCAATATCCTTCTGAGTTATTTAACTTGAAACATGTTCTGAGACCTATTGTGTTTCCAAGGTCTGGTGTCCACTAAAACTAGCCCATGTCAGTTAACGGTATCCTCTAAGTTAGCTTCATAGTGCATTTATCTTATTAGTTGGATTTATAGTTCATTATTTTCCTCCATAAGATTAGAAATATATACATATTTGAATTCCTTTTCAAAAGTGAACGTTCAAATTATGAAATAATTTAGCCTGTAAGTGAAATATTAATGAATAACCATGAGAGACTAATAAAACATGAATGCCAATGTAAAAAAACCAATAAACAACCTCTTATCAACAATATGATACTGCAGGCAATTTTATAGATGTCATAGTTGAGATAAAAGAATATACCTTTCCTTGGATTGATGAGCACACTGTTGAGGCTAATTGAATGCCGGCTCCTATTCCAACAACATTAAAAAGGGTGGAGATGGCCTCTCCTTTTGCAAACAAGTCACTAAGATTACCTTCTTTCGCAAAAGAGGAATAAATTGGTAACCTGGTAGCCCTTGCAGCGACAACAGCCAGTCCCTACAATTCACTCAAGTAAAATTCACTATCCAAAAGTGATGTAGAAAGTGATATTTATTAGTATAATTATTTAAGTGAAATAAGGATACAAAAAAGGTTGTAGTAAATGGACTGTCCTTATGACAAAGAGATAGAAGCTACTGAAGAAAAAGTAAACTTAATTTTAAGAAAAATGTCTAGTCTCCAAATGGAAGCTGACAAGAAAATTGAAGGAAAAAAGGTACCTTTGCAAAATTTCCCAAACCTGCCATTTCTAGAAAAAGATGTGGGCATAAAGGTGAAATGACCTCCAAGCCAGTACCGAGATCATAAAGTACATCAGCTACACGAACGAGAGTACATACAGATTACGACTGAAGTAAATTGGTCACAACATATTTTCTTCAAAAGAAAGAATTTTACAAAATGCAGAAGAGTCAAAAGAGTGAAGGCATGAATAACTCTTCTTGCAATAACAATTATTATGTTATTATAATTAACTTGATGGTAGCAAAAAATTGACAAATGTTCAATATTAGTCCCAAATTACCAACCAAGTATTCTCCAACTTTTTGGCTCTGAATCCATTCTTGCACCCATATTGCTACAGATGAGCTTCCCAGCATGTTGCATGCCATCTTTTATAATCTGTAAAGCATTAAGACATAACATAAAGTGCCTAACAGAATCCAGCATGAAAATATCATTGTAGTATAATTCATCTCTTACCCAGCTCACAGCAGTCGCTTGTGCAGGGGTAGGCCGCAAACCTGCAGCAAATAGTAGTGACTGAGCCATAGCCCAGATTTGTTCTCAGCCCAAAGCCATGCTATAAAGTCATTAAAGTAATGCTATATAATTAAGCATTTAACTATACTATGAGCACAGAATAAACCATAGTTTGACAAATATGATCACATAATTCTAGTCCAATAATACACCTAAAATAGTCAAGCATCATTAGGGTTATTCCTGACCTGAAATTAGTTTATATAAATATATATACTACCCCTTGTCATTGGTTCATAAACCCAAATTCTAACCCCAGTCTTGTGACCCCTCACATTTCCGTAGTTTTGCCTCCTTGACCAAGTAGACCAACACTGCCGGACCAAAGTCTATTCCGCAACTGAACTGCTAATCCACCACTAGCTGGAGCTATGACATAATAAGCTGCAGGGCCAGCAAACCATGATTTCAATGGTCAATGTTTCAATAATCAATTTCTTCTAGAGACAAATTCCTTTAGGAGTGGCTTTCAAACATCGTAGACTTCTATGAATTGCTTCTAGATGAACCTCTTTAGGAAAATCCATGAACTGGCTTACACACTGCAGTTCATTTGAACTAATTATATAAAAATGCTTGATGTGGACTGAAACATTGGCTCATGGTTTGTCAACCCCTAAGGTATGTTAACTTTATCAATAAGGAGCTTAAATCAGTTAATTTGTTTTATAATTGAAAATGTCCAAGTTATTAAGGAACTAAATTGTTGCTTTTTTTGGCAATTATGCAAGTATAAGATAGTTTAGATACAAATTCCACATAAAATTTAGAAGGTACTTGCCCAAATGCATCACTTTGCAAACGCAAACTACAATCTATTAGAAGCAATAGAACAGAAGAGACCTGAGTTGACAAGACAGATAATGCAGCACTGGAGAAGTGTTGTAGAGCTCGAAATTGGGTATAAATCAAGTATCCTTCATTAACACTGCACAAGCAGTAATAATTGTAATAGACGAAAATTGTAACTTTACTGTTGCTAAAAGTATAGCACTTCACATATCAAAAAAATTTACATAGCATATCTTACCTATATGGATATCCTGATGGAAAGAATTTGTTACGGAATGATTCAACCATTCTCTGGATTATTGGCCGTGAATCATTAGCAATCTTAACCTACAAACCAACACAAGTTCTCAATTAAACAAAAACTCTTACAAACAAAGCTAACATGTATGATGAAAGGATGAAACGCTTCTCATTTCAAAGAAAATTGAAAGGTTCCTCAAAGAAATCGATTTATGATCTCTACTTACACCTTACATCGAGAAATATATACAACACTACAATCACTAAACCCGGTGAGAAGAAAAAGTTACATTTAAGCACTTGTACACAAATTAGTCAGGAAAGACAAGATCAAGGGTATCTACAATCCTCATTGTTGAGCTTCTCCAAAAAAATCATAGTCTTGTCTTACGTTAGTCTAACTAAGGTGTTGTTAGATTAAAGACAATAATCTTTTAGTCAATTAAATATTCTGGATTTAGTTGACCAAGTCAAGGGAACTTTTTTCTATTGGAGTTTGTTAGAGCTATTTTGTTAAGATATTGGGAGGTTATACTTGTTAAGTTTGTGTAATTAGGCCGACTAGGAGTTGTTACGACTTTGGATGTTAATGAATTTTTGTTAGTCTAAGTTTAGTAGCTATGGGTCAAGTTCGGGTCTTTGTGTAGTTAAAAGTGCTGGATTATGTAGCAAATATACATATTTTGCATTACTGTTCCGCTTGCCTCTAGGAAGATCTGTTCTATTCAGTTGTGGATCCAGAATCGAGAAGAGAAGATAAAGAGGCTTTCAAAAGAGACTAATTCATCCCATAGGTGTTGGGCAATTGTTTCATCAAATAGAGCTCCATGTTACTTCAGCCGGTTATTGCTTAAGAGTCCAGCCTATGAAAGTTATCAACCAAAGGAAAGGATATTTTAATTTCTATACCTCGCATTTTATGCAATAGATTTCTGGAGTTTGCGTTTACTGCTCAAAATCGTTCGAACCAAGTTATTTAGTATGACGGAACTTGCTCCTAATTCGCATTTCCCTTTCTTTCTTCTTTGAACCAGATAAAAATCAACATTTAGTCCGAAAGCTAGCCGATACTAAAAGATTCTTTCAAGAATCCAACTATCGGAAAACACGAAACAGCACGAACAAAGAAAGGAAAACAAAACAAAACAAGGGTTTACGGAGAGATGGCCATCGGCGTCGAAACTGCAGATCTGGGAGATAGAACCGGAGGTTTCGATCCAGAAATCGGGCCGACGAGGCTGCCCCTCATCTGCTCTTTTCTTCGGCCCCTTCAGCTTCACCTGAAAATGGTTACAGAAAGGGGGGCGGGAAATCACATAGATAGCGAGGAAAAGCTGGTGGGAAACAAAAACCTTTGAAAAAAATAAATCATATGAGAATATTTTGCTGAACCAGAATCGAGTTCATGAGGCGCTTCTCTGATTCCGTCGCTGCTTCACGGAGAAACTCGGTGGGATAATGAAAGAAACCGAAACTGAACTCAGGTCTTTTCAGGTTCCCCCCACACCGCGTACATTTAGCTTTCCCCACGCGACTCCACCTCCTAAAAACCATGTGGGACCAGCATTTCTTCGACGCATTAGGGCGGAGGGTGGGAAAACACACGTAAAGGACGTAAAGCACGCCTTCTTCGAAAATATCAATTTACCTTTATATTTATATATATATATATATATATATATATATATATATGTTTGCGTTTTACCGATGGCATCCTTTTTATGGGGAGGCTTTTTCGTGAATTAAGCGAAAACACCCTCTATCAATTGCTAAAACGACCTCGAGAATGCATGCATGAATATACTTTTTAGATCAACAAAATCTTTTGTTCATTGGAGTCCTAATTTACCCTTTGTTTTTTCTTAAATTATTTCGTATTATCTAATCGATTCCGTCTCATAAAATAGGAGAAACTCATTGCCATTGAGACTTAAGCGAAATCATTCTTCCGACGATGGAAAAACTTTAGTGTGGGTAGTGTTAATGTAAACAACTTTGAGCCGTGGCCTCGGGGTCGACGTGGTCTGGTTCGGGTCCGGATGATGGGGGATCTCCCCGGGACGTTCCTCGAGACTACTAAGGTGGCCGATTACGATGGTCCGATCGGGAGGGAGTCGTCGTTTCCTCTAGGAAGGGACTCCTCATCTGGGCGTTTAGTGAGAGACCTCCGCCTGCGCGCCTACACAAAGATCGGGTCGGGGAGCTCAGTCCAACCCCTCCGACGATCAAGTTAGTGGATGGTTAAGGGGGTTTCTTTTACTAAGTCGTCTCCTCTCTCCTCCTCCGAGCGTGAGGGTTTTTATAGTAAGAATTACCGTTGCATGATGTGTCTACCCGCAGAGAGCAGGATCGTACTTATGGTAGCGTCTGACATTGCCATCGACGTGGCGTGAGGGATTGAGCCTGAGTAGGGTGTTAATGTGCCTTGGTAGGCGTTCCGGTCCGCTTTGACCGAGTGTCTCATCAAGTCAACAGAGGCGTGAGGCATCATCTGGGGCAGCTGATGTCACGCAAGTCTTATCGCAATTATTACCCTCATCAGGTAGGCTTTGTCGATGAAACGTTTGTGGAAGGTTTTGTCGACGAAGCATTTGTGGAAGGAAGGCTTCACCAGTGCATTGTCAAATCCTTTGTTGTGTCACTTTGATGAATCCTTCATCGCATCCTCCGTCTTTGTTTGCTGCATGCATCAACGTGCAGAGAGCTTCACTATGTTCGTGGAAAGCTTTGCTACCATCGTCGAAGGCTTCTTTACTACTATGTTGGTGATGCGTTGATGGGCGTTGCCACTTTGTTGTCAACCCGTTGAAGAAAGACATGGCCGCTACATCGTTGGATCCTTTGTTGTATTGTCGAAGCATTTGGTGCAACAACATCTCAAGCCGAAGAGTGGAGGATTCTTGGTGTGGCGATCGTGGAAGCTGTCTTCACCGTGACCGAGCTATGTCACCAAGTGTAATTAGTCGTCAAAGCCTTCACTAGGTCACCCTACCCTAGCATTCATCGGACAATATTGATCGTTGAAGCTTGGATCCCTAGTGCAGCATTCATGGAACTCATCTTCATTACGATCGAGCAACTCATTCATTGATGTAAATGTTCATCATTCATCGTCCAAGTCATCGTTTTAGGTGTTCATTGGGTTTTCGAACCAAATTGATGCATTAATCCTGTATTCGTTGCATAGTTTTGTAAAGCTAGCGGATGAGAGCATGTAAAGTTAATATCAACTACTATTATCATAGGGGAACTTGTTATATAATCTTTTTTTAATGTTACATTAGTTATATATTTGATGCTATTGTGTTGAAACAATATACAATATTAGATGAATACATCTTCGTCTTATTCGTATTTGTTTGCTATTATAATTTTCCAATGTCATTTGAACACAAATACTAGGCTACTTTTACATGGATGATCCTCTTACAAATGAAATATTCAGTATTCTAAATGAGATGAAGATTTTCAATCAAATACAACCATTGTCAATCCTGAAATATAAAAAAAAAATACTTTCGAAAAATAGTAGTCATGAGATATGAGACTAAATCGAAGAATCTACTTTCGAATAACTTCAAGCTTCAAACTTTGTTTTGAAAGCAGTCATGAGATACAAGACCAAATTGAAGGATCTACTTCCATACAATTTCAAACTTATAATTTTAATTTAAATGAGACATTTGTAATAGATGACAATGAAGATAGTTATGAGATATTTAAACAAGAATAGATTGAGCAAATAATAGCAAAAGAAGTCAAACAAGATATAGATCATAATACATATGTTGTGTATAATGGTATTGGTAAGCATATCAATTTCAATCTATATATTTATGGAAACCTCTCAGAGTTAAGGGTTACAGAAGAAAATAACTTTAACTTTAAAGCTTTGGCTCTATATCAAACTGAAGATGAACTTAAATGAGATATTTGTAATGGATGATAATGAAAATAGTTATGAGATATTTAAACAAGAATAGATTGAGCAAATAATAGTAGAAGAAGTCAAACAAGAGTTGTGTATAATGTTATTGGTGAGTATATCAATTTCAATCTATATATTTATGGAAACCTCTCAGAGTAAAGGGTTACAGAAGAAAATAACTTTAACTTTAAAGCTTTGGCTCTATATAAAACTGAAGATGAACTTATCAAGCTATACATTACAATTATGAATTTATGAAATCTAAAATTTGTTGATGTGATAATGTTCAATATAGCAATTTTGTTTGTGATATTTGACATATAATTCCTTCATGATTTGTAGATATTTAAAAACATTCAAAGTTTAAAAGAGCTTTACAAGAATATGTTACCAAAAGGAAACTTGAAATGAATATTATTGTTTGTAGAAGTTACAAGCACAAGGCACAATATAAAGTTAATTATTATGGATGGAAAATAGTTGCTCATGAAGGTTTTACATGTTGACTTACAAAGTTTATCAAAAAGCACCAATGCAATATGCCTAGAGAAAATTGAGATCATCCATCTTGCTTTAGCAAATTTATAACTGAATAAAGCAAAGAATAAGATCTTACAAATGAACAATAAACTTTTAAGATAATCATTACAAATATTTAAAAAAAAAAAATTAGAGTAGTTGTTTCATATAGAAAAGTATATTTGGCATATGAAATTACATTGAAAAATAAAGTTCATGGAGACTTTGATGGGTCGTATAGTGAGTTAATACATTTCCAACGAAAGTTAAAAGTTCATGTTTAATTAATATAGAGCATGGACATTTTCTTCAGGTTTTTTTTTGGGTATTCGAAGCATGTTTGCATGATTTATGCATTACATTCATCCAATTATCAACATAGATGCAGCATATTTATTTGGAAAATACCTTAATGTTTTGATGACAGTGATTGGTGTTGATAGTTCTAATAAGTTAATTTTTTGTTATATTTGGAGTAGCATAGACTCATAAGAATAATTTTATTTTGAGTTGAGAAAATGCATTAGTGTGCATTGTGAATCTTTATGTATTTTGTTAATGATAAATTTTCAAGAATTCTTGCAATAGATAAAAAATATTTTCAAAAACACATTATGATTATTGTATGGTGTATCTTTTAAAGAATTTACCAAGTGATGTATTAGATAGGAAAACAACTAGAGTTTTTTAGGCTACCACAAGAGTACTTATTGAGATCAAGTCAAACTAATGAAAAAAATCATTTCAAAAGTTATTATTGAATTTAAGAATTAGATAAAGAGAAGTGAGCTAGTGCTTTTTTTAATGCAATGTTAACAATGAATGAATGGTTTGAAAAATGTATGTAGACTTTCAATAATATATATGATCGAGATAAAAAAGAAATATCAAGTGATTTTTTTTTTATCGTTATACTACCAATGTTATTACTAGTATATTGACACCTTGAATGAAAAAAAGTTTCTAGCTCGCAAGATAAGGCTCGATTCTATATTGTTCACCCGTAATTAAGTAACATGTTTTCGAACAACTATAAAGACAATTGTAGTAGATACGAAAAAACGAATATATTCATGTTAGTGATTTAATATATTTAGTATTGAATGCTTTTATGCAATGGTTGCTATTGGGTTTATGAATTCTAATTCATATCAATATTATGATGATTATTTTTTAGCATAATATTTATAAAATCCATATAATGACATAATCTTTCTAACAAGAAGCAATCGATCTTGGATTAAAAAAGCTAATAAGAAAATTATCTTACCTCTAAAGAGTGCAAAACAATTAAGTAAAAAGAAAAAGACTAATAAAATCAATACAATACTATCTAGAAGGTTTACCATGTGTCAACAATTAGGTCACAATGGATGCTTATATAAATTTTCACTAGTTGTATAAGTCAATATTATCAATTGTAAAGTAATATGGTATCTTTAGTCTTTTTGTATAATCTAATTTTGATCTTAGTTTTTTCTTGTCAATATTGGGTATAGGAGGTGATTTTTTTATATATATAGTGTACTTATACAAATTGTCCATAAATATGCCACAACGTTATAAAATATTATAAATTATTATTAATTGTGAATATAAAATTACCATTGTGCAATTAATCTAACAATCCTTGTATAATTATATTTTAATTGAGTTGTTAAAGTAAATTTTAGTTAAGTTAGAATCATGTTTTGGTTAAGGTATCATTGGAATAGGATCTTACAATCCTACCACAATGTGTCAAATTCTATCAATTATCCTAAAATATTTTAAAAATTAAAAAAGTCTTATTAATTATCTTACCAATATGTTCTAGTAGTTCTATCAAAGTTTAGATAGTTTTGGTGAAGTTTGACTGGATTGTGCTCGATTTTAAACTAAATTACACTTGATCATAACACATATTCAAAAAAATTTAATTTTGATAATTAATCATCACAAAATATTCAAAAAATAGAAAATGACCTAGTAATCATCTAACTAGTCTATCATATCTTAGGATTTCTGTAGAAGTTTAGATAAGTTTCATGGAGGTTCACCTGAGTTACACTCATTCTTGAACTAAAGTATATTTGGTCATAGTAT